CCCGAATGACTCTGTGAGCAAATGACTCGATCGACGCGAATGACTAGATTGGTGCGAATAAAGCGGCGTGAGTTAAGTGTTTGATGCACTTAACACTATGATCAATCGAGTTGGAAAATCTGAAACTCAGTGGACATTCGTTAAAGTCCATGTTAGCCATTTAGCAATGAAGGTAAAGTCACCTGGCAGACAGAAGCCCTGCTCATGACACGAATCTGTGTCTATTATGAAGTGAATGTGACATGTGAATGAATCGAATTCGATGCAAAAATGAAGCGAATTTGACGCTCAAATGAAGTGAGTAACTCAAAATGTTTACGCGTCTATTTGAGCATGAATAGCATGATTTATTCACGCATGTCGTATCTGGTGTTATAAAAGCATAAGAACGCCAGGACATATCCACAGTTTGTGTAGGACCAATGGCAGCTCAAATTAGTTTGGGACCAATACAAACTCCCCCAAAAAGTTTGTTTTTGGTGAGCTGTTTCGAACTGCTGAAACAAACTCAAAAAGAGCTTGGTTTTGGACTGATTTTGTTCTTCATGATGTCATTTTAGGGATTTTTTTTCTGATTTTATTTAAAGTATGCCTGGGCCTTAAGACTGAATATCAAGAGATTTGGGTTAGAACTTAGTAATAAACCGCCCAAAAGACCGATTTACACTTAGTATTAAGACGCATTTTAAATGAGCACAGCCAAGAAGATGAGAGAGATACATTCCCATTTACGCCCAATAATCTAACCCAACTTTTTGTGTTCACTTTCAGACTCTTCACACCTATATTTAGAATCCTCCACACAAAAATGTATTCTAATACCAGGTATAACCAGAAACCGCAGACTGCAGCAACATGCTTAAATCCGCACATTGGCATTGTTGAGGTAGTGAGTTTTTGCATGGACCAGCACAACTTTATTGCATCATAAATCAGACTCAGAGACTGTTCGATAGGCCTGTATTTATGGCCCTGACTGGAGGAGACATGTTCAGGTTAATGAAGCATCTCAGTCTGAATGCACAGCAGCTGTTTCTGCTGATAACACACAATACGTCTTCTGTTGCCTCATCACGGTAATGATTTGCTAGTAAGCTAATGGTGCTCAGTGTAAAACACCAGACCACCCTAGAGAAGACTCACTTTTCTCAGTCTAGTCTGGAGATATCCACCTATCCACCAATTTTTATACTCATTTTGGATATGCGCAAAAAAACGGTTGATGGAAACGCCAAGATGTGCATCAATTTTGAAAATGCACATAAAAAAAATTTGCACATACCTGAGACGGATACACTTTTTATTCGATAAGAAAAAAAGTGCTATAAACTACGATGGAAACACTTTTACACAACAAACTTCAGTATGCACATTAAAAAAAGTCATGTGATTTTGTTATAAGGGATGATGTGGTGATAAAAATATGTGTATGGACAAACCAGAAGGACGAGCACACTGTAAACCATCTGAAATGTTGTTTTGGTCATTCTAAAGCGCTGTAACCATTTCAGTATTTGTGTTATTATATTGTTAATGACCTCCAAAATCAAGAGTGTCTGTGCTCCACGTCTCATGGCTTCAAACGCCCCCACACGGTTATTGCGTATCAGCATTGTCTTATGAGACACAAGTCATTTATTAAATAAAGAAAAGATTTACGCAGCTTCTCCTACCACAGCAAATTCCATTTTTACTGCTGATATTTGTTGCCATTTAATCGGGAAGTGACAATTTTGTTCTATGTGAATCGTTGGATGGAAACGCTGCTTTATTGGCCATTTTATTATTATTATTATTTTATTTTATTTTTTTGCAGTAATCCAGTTTTGTCATAAATTTAATTTGCAGTTTTGGATGGAAACATAGCTTGTGTTGCGTCTTATTAGAAGGATGAGACATAACATTAAGTGAGATTTTTCTGGTGCTAGATGAAATAAGAGAAATAACAACACTGGATATGTGAAACAAAAGTAGTATGTATTAAACAATGATAGGAGACAATGAATATAAGCATTAAGAATGTAAATTAATTAATAACTGAATCAAACTGAAAAACAGGACTGTTGCCAAAATGAAGACATGAAGCAAAACTATCGAACTAAATCCCAACTCACTAAACTAATTAACTAAATTCATTCATAAATCCATTTTCCTTCAGCTTATTCCCTTTATTATTCTGGGGTCGCCACAGCGGAATGAACCGCCAACTTATCCAGCATATATTTTACACAGTGGATACTCTTCTAGCCACAACCCAGTGCTGGGAAACACCCACACACTCATTCACACACATCTACTACAGCAAATTTAGCTTATTCAATTCAAAGCGCATGTCTTTGGACTGTGGGGGAAATCTGAGCACCCGGAGGAAACCCACGCCAACACGGGGAGATAAGTGACCAAATTTTAAGACTTAATAAAAATAAAAAAAAAACATGGTTTTGAAATTTGAATTTAGATTACAGCAATGAGTCAATAACAAAAAAGCTTTCAAAAGAAAATTGCTAATTAATATTTACACTTTACACATTGTATTTGGAGTTTTTATTAATCATTTGTTAATTTAAAAATTGTGTGGATTCAGATAGCTTCTTATCCATGGAGGTCACAGAAATCTGCTAAATATGAAAAGTTTTACTAATATTTAGCAGACAAGCTAGTAAAATGTTTAATTTCGATATTAAGTTGAAGTTAGAATTATTAGCCCCTTGTATATATTTGTAAATGCCCAATTTCTGTTTTAATGGAAAGAAGATATTTAAACATAATAGTTTTAATAACTGATTTCTTTTATCTTTGCCATGATGATAGAACATAATATTTTACTAGAGATTTTCAAGATGCTCGTATTCAGCTTAAAGTGGCATTTAAATGTTTAACTAAGTTAATTGGGCAAGTTAGGGTAATTATCACAATATCTATTTTTGTTGTGCTATATATTGAATCAAAATATATTGCGATAAACAATATTAGTGTCATTTTAAGACCATTTTATGCCACTTATTGTATAATACCAAAAGGACAATAATATAGCATCACAATGCAAGTACACTCTTCCAAGGAACACATCATATCTTATTTTTAAGAATGTTTAATTTAGTTATAGTCATTTTAACAATTTTATAATTAGGCATTTGAATCAGAATGTGAAAACGCATATCCTAAATAAATAATAATAAAATATTAACAAAAAAGTGCAAGGTAAAAAGTAACAGAGGCTGCGATATCTGCTACCAGATCTATTTTCAGTTGTCAGAAACCTACATGAAAATATACTATAGTCATTTATAGTATCACTATAGTGTTTTTTTAACCATACTGACACTAACCCCTCCAATAGAAATTGATATGTTGCACAGTCATGTTGCTAGAATAGTTTTTTTTATATACGTATGTATGTATATATATATATGTATGTATGTATGTATGTATGTATGTGTGTATGTGTATATATATATATATATATATATATATATATATATATATATATATATATGTGTGTGTGTGTAAAAAATTATTGAGGCTATATCCATGTGTTGTGCGATTAAGTTGATATATAATAATTACTATGACAGGCTTTTATAACAATGTTTATTTTTTCTGTAGACATTCAAACTAATAATATTGCTTATGAGGGCCAATAATATTGACCTTAACCTTCAAGGGCTTAGTGGCCCTTAAAATTAACATTTTAACTGTACATTAAAAGAGGCATTCAAAATATAATAACATGTAAGTATATCACAGATCTTTTATTCAATTGTTGGTGTCACCTCTTCTAGCCTGTTAAGAAATGAAAAGTAAATAAATAATAAGTGGTTTCAGAAAGGTTTTTTTATGCTAAAGAAGGGTTTACTGTGACAAGGGTCTAGCATTAGTTGCAGCAGCTGAAAAATGCTAAGAATTTCCATTGGCTGCTGTAATTGCTGTTATTTTGGCTTCGTAACGAAATTATAAAGCCCCCTCAGTCTAAAGCATGCATGCCATATGCTCTGTCTTTCATAATTATCAAATGCCACAGTAAATAGCATTACATGCCTGTGCTAGCAGAGTTCTTATGAGTGAAAATAAATATATTTCACACTATTATATTAGGGTTAAGCTTTGCAATCAAAGCATGTGCTCTGAACTGTGTTTCCTGGTTAATTATAATCCCAGCTTGACGTCGAAGATCCTCTGATGTGACTTGCAGATTCCACATTTAGTTTAGTTCAGTACAGTGGGGTTTGATGTTCACTGCTGAGTGTTCAAACACTGAAGAGCAAATTCAACAATGCACAGCTCCACAGGTCACAAACCATGCAAGCCAGTGGCGACAGTGGCAAGGAAAAAACTTCACCAATTGGCGAAAGTGAAGAATTAAAAAAAAACTCGAGAGAAACCAGGCTCAGATGGGCACAGCCATTTTTCCTATGGCCAAACGTCTTGTGCAGAGCTGCAGTCTAGGTGCCAGAGGCTGGAGAGCGCTGGACTATATTAAAATAACTTATTGTTTCATTTTTTTCGGCTGTATTTGATTGTTGGGAAAAGCTCATTTCCACCACAGTATAAAAATATCAAAAGCAATAAGTTGCAATTCTGACTGACTGCTGCAATTTGGAGGGGGGAAAATGGAAACGTTGCAAATAAACATGAAATAGTTACAAGATAACAACTTTTTTTTTTCATAATTATGAATTTATATCCAATACAATCTCATTCAAAGTATGAAAAGTTAGAAAATCTAAGTTTTTTTGAGCAAACGCTGTGGAAAAACTCTGAATTGGACATGGCAGAAATAAGCTCCTCATACATTAAAGTCTAAAATGAATAAACCAAAACATTGATTCATTTTAAATGAAGGTTTTGATTAAAAACAAAAGATAACACCAAACTGAAAATAAATCCTGACCGTTGTGGTTGAGGGGAAAAACCTGCATGTTAAGTCTTGCAGTTTTTGTCTTATCTCTGTCAGTCATTCCATTATTAACTCAGCTTATTGTCTCTACTTTCTGTTTCAGAATTCAGTTTTGTGTAAAGCAGCGGTGCATGCTGGGGTCATCATGGACCAGTTTGGAGGACCAATCACGGTGGAGAATCGTAGAGGGCTCAGTTACTACCCTGCGGTCAGAGCCAATGGCATCCAGTCAAAAGAGTGAGTTTCTGCAGTGGTTGCTGTGGTCTTTCTTTACGCTTGAAGCCTCAGATTTTATCTGTGCTACATGCATATTGTGAATGCTTTCATATTCCTAGGAGAATCAGCTTGTGGGCTTTCATTTCTTCTATTAAAGGCACAATATGTATGATTTTTTTCATTGAAATATCCCAAATCTACTATTTTAATTAAATTTCAGTGTAGATTGTGTTACTAAAAATATATTAATATTACTAAAAATATTACTCTATACTAGAACAGTGTTATATATTCAAAATATTTTGAAGTATATTAAAATGCAGAGAAATTAGCAAGTTTAACTATTAACGTAGAATTTGTTTCTGATTTGTTTTTTAAAGAAAACAGGGAAATGCCAAAGACACCTTAATATGTTTAACAAGTCAGGGCAGCAGTATATTTCTGTATTTAGTATGATAAAACAGCTCTGCTTCTTCTGTAAGTGATCGCGTATAAACCGGGAAGCAGTCAGGTGTGGCATAATAAAAGCTCTGCTGCTTTTACCTTGCGTCACATTCATCTCTCATCAGCAATTGCTTTAGCTTTCATGTTTGCTTTTACCACTTTCAGCCTTATTCTACTTCATAGTATCATGATAGGATTAAGTGAAAACGACAACTCCCATGATTCCACAATCATTCAGGGTGTCATTTAACTACACCTTAGTTTGCTGCGAATATGCTCCCTCTAGTGGTTAAAATGACATATTGTGCCTTTAAAACATCCTGCAACGTCCGACACGTAAAAAAAAAAAAAAAAAAACATCTTCCTGGAAGCTTTAGTTGATTTGACGTGTTTGCCAACCAGGTGGCATGTCATGTCTTGGGGTACGTATAGAGAATTCACTAAGAGGGTCAGGATATAATCAATAGTCAATAGTTTTTTCCTCATATATATTTGTTTTTAGTGTAAAAACATATTACCATTACAAGTGAAGCGAAAGCAATGCACTAAAGCAGTGTTTCTCAGCCATGTCCCTGGAGGACCACCAATGCTGCATGTTTTAGATGTCACCTTGGTCTGTCACACCCATCTCAGGTCTTTTAGTCTCTGCTAACGAGGTGATGATCTGAATCAGGTGTGTTTGTTTAAGAAGACATGGAAAATATGCAGAGCTGGTGGTCCTCCAGAAATGTGGCTGAGAAACACTGCATTAAAGAGATAGTTGTCTTAAAATGAAAATTTTCTCACTATTTACTCTCCTTCAAGTGGTTCCAAAACTTTAAAACTTTTTTTTCACAAAAAAAAAATGTTTTGTGTTCAACAGAAAAATGAAACTAAAATGGGTTTGTGGCAAGTGAAAAGTAAGGGGTAAATGAGGATAAACAAATATTCTGATTGTTGTGGGTTTGCCAGATTAGATTAGAAAAACGGTTAAATGACAGTTTCAAAGCTTGAAAGTGAAAGTCTGTCTTCTGGTTCCCCTAACAAGTCACAACACGTCTTTCTCTAGGACTTCAGCAAATGGCTCAATATTTCCTTGGTTGGTTTTGTATTTGTAGGAGTTATTATTAAGCGGTGATTTCTGCTCTTTTTTTTTGTGATGGACGGTTCAGATTAGATTAGATTAGATTAGGTTAGATTAGATTGGATTAAACTTTATTGTCATTACACATGTACAAGTGCAATGCAACGAAATGCAGTTTAGGTCTAACCAGCAGTGCAATAGCAGCAAGTGCAGGATACAGGAATAAGTTATAAAGTGCAGTTATAGAAAAACTATGGTGATATTTACAGATGGATGTACTATCAAAATTATGTACAGGTTGGATAAGCTATGAACAGATTTACAATATATGAATATATGTGCATAGATACCTATAATGTCAGGGACACTCAGCCTGGACAGTTGCTCTTTCACCGATTTGTCAGTGGGGAATTGGGGGGCAGGTTAAGGAGGAAATTGAGATTGCCTCTCGTTATAGTCTCTGAGGAGTGCTTGAAGTGTCTATTGAGGAGTGATTTATTAGGACTTTCCCACAGCCAGAGATTATACTGCTGTCCCATTTAAAACCTGCTGAAAGCTACAAGGCATATCCTCTTCTTCACATTCGTTTCTGTGGGCTTTCTTGATTTGTTTGTTGTGCATTACTATGTTGCTTCTCGGGAGCTTGCTTGGGTATTGCTGCAGTGTACTGATGCATTGTTTTTAGTGTGTCACAAAATGTCATAGTAAATTACTAATTTTATAGTGTCTTTCACCGTTTTGCAGTGAAAATATGCTCTTATTTACATATGTTAATTCACGCTGGGTAAAGAATAATTTATGCACAATGTAGAGACAGAAATGACATGCCGTTATTTAAAGATAAATCATACTAGGCTAAATTGTTTAATAGAAGTCTAATCTGTGGAATAGAAACCTAGTATGACTTCTGTTGTGATCTGGCACTGGAAAACAGGATTAAATATCCTAATAAAATAGTCTTGGAAATGCTGAATGTTGCTAGGAGGTTTATAGGGAATTGTGGGATTATTTAGAGGTTGATATTCAGCTATTACGAGTTGTTAAGTTTATTAAAGTGATGGCTACCAAGGTGTTGTAAATGGTTTGTAGTGCATTGCTATTTGGTGTCTAGGGTATTTTGGGTGTTTTCTGTGGTGTTGCTATGCAGTTGCTACGTATTTTGGATATTTTTAGTGTGTTGTTGTGTGGTTGCTAGCATGCTGTGGGTGTGAGTTGCTGTTTGCTATATCATTGCTTTGGGTTGGTGATAAAATTGGAAGCGATTTTAATTGACCGTAGTCCAAAGACATGTGCTATAGGTGAATTGGGCAAGCTAAATTGGCAGTAGTGTTTGAGTGCGAATGAGAATGTATGGGTGTTTTCCAGTGATGGGTTGCAGCTGTAAGGGTATCCGCTGCGGTAAACGTATGCTGGATAAGTTCGCGGTTCATTTCGATGTGGCTACCCCAGATTAATAAAGGGACTAAGCTGAAAAGAAAATGAATGAGTTTTGGTATGAAGGCAATAGCTTTATTGAAATGTGGCTGCTGAGCGCGTGCCTTGTAAACAATGGCAATAAGCTTAGGCTGTAAGTTTGTCATTTCCAATGGAGCCAAACCACCTGCACGACGTGAATATGGGAGCGACGTGCACATATTGTGCAAGTAGCACACATCTGAACTGCGCGCATTTTCCAACTGCACTTAGTTGAAAACACCTTGTTTTTGCTTTTAACTATTAAAACTATTTGCCTTAGTAATGTTGGTAAATTAAAATGAAGTGATTGAATAAAAATAGAAAATCCAAATATACTTAATTGTATTGTTAAAAAATATTTAATAATTATTGATATAGAATAAAATGAAACAAGTTATCGTGATAACTTTTTTTATGCAATATCGCCCAGCCTTATTATTGCTATGCAGATACTTGGGTGTTCTGATTTTTATTTATTTTATTGTGCATTGTGTGGTCACTAAAGTGTACCAGATCATATATTTTTATGCCTTAAAAGCAACAAATTGACTTTACTTTAAAAGGTTTGTAAATCCATTGTAAGTTTGAATGGTTGACAACTTAATCTTTATCATTATGCACTTAATTAATTTACCTGATAATTTTATGGCAGTATATATTCATATAAATTGTAGAATAAAATAAATTTTTTCAATTTTTAAAAAATAATTTTAAGGTCAATATTATTTTTTTTTCAATATCAATATCATTATTTTTTTTTTTATTGTCTACAGAACAAACCACTGTTATACAAGGACTTGCTTAATTAATCTAACTTGCCTAATTAACCTAGTTAAGCCTTTTAATGTCACTTTAAGCTGAATACTAGTACCTTGAAAAAAATCTGGTAAAATATTATTTACTCTCATCATGGCAAGAAATAAAATCAGCTACAATAAATTAGTTTGTAACACTATTATATTTAGGGGGAAATTGGGGGAAAATATAATATACAAAATATACAAGGGGGTTAATAATTCTCACTTTAACTGTGTATACACTCTCAGAAAAAAAGGTACAAAATTGTACCTTTTAGGGTACAAATGGCCCGTCACTGGGGTGGTACCCTTAAGGGTACAAATTTGTACCTCTATTTAAAGGTACAAAATTGTACCTTCTACATTTGTACCCTTTAAGGGACAATTTTGTACCCCCAAGGAACAAAATTGTAGACACTGAAGGTACAAAAATGTACCTTTTTATATTATATAGTATTTTCAGGGTACTGACCCAGACATTTTGATCTTTTGTTGACTGCATGCACAAATAAATAAATAAAATATTTTGGTTCACAGATGTCCATTTTTATTTATTAATGTAGAAATATTTCATTACAACTCACAACTGAATGTGTTAAGAAATAAAATTACACAGCAAGTATAAAGCAGACATGTAAAACAGTAAAAAGAACAATTTAGATAACAAATAAAAACTAAATAATCTACACTTAATACAAAGACCACAAGAATACTGTTTAAGATTTATAAACACATTACACAGGCTACATCAAGTACTGCACTTTATAAAGTCCAAAGTGTTTGTCTTTAGTCAGAATACTCGGTCATAATAAATAATTTGTCATCAACATTTTCTCAGAATTTCAGAATGAAGGCAATGCTTCTCTATAAATTGCTTTAACAGTGCAGAAAACCAAATACATCAGTAGCCTCTTCCTCAACATCAGTAGATTACTCCTCATCATCCTCAAGTGGAGTTGTAATTTGTTGTAACACAATATGTGTTTATGCTTTTGATAAACATGACATGTAAAGCACTCATATCTGGAAAATGTTCTTTGATAGTCATTAGGACCACAAGTTATTTAAAAATTTGCTTTATGCATGAATGATAGCAGTGTGCTGGATTAACTTGATGATTGTGATTATCCCAAGAGCATGTAGAGAAACAAAAAACAAGGTTTATCACTCTGGTAACTGGAGTAGATCCAGGCTTGTCACAGTCCACCGTTCATTCAAAACATTCCACAGCAGAAACATCAAGGTGTTCTTCTAATAAGATG